ATTAAAAAAATGAAAAGGTACCTTAAATGTGAAATTAAAACCGCCAGTAGGTGGCAGCAAGTCACTGTTAATAAGTGAGTCATTGCGACTGAACCGAATCATTTAAACGGTTGATTAATTCAGGAACGAGACACTGTCATGTTGCTCAGAGATGCAGAACAGCGCTGTGACTGTGTTTGGAATGATTTTTGTTGGAGATATAGAGCAAAAACAGGAAATATGGTGTTTAAAACGTAAGTCTCTTAATATTAACCAATTGTTTATTGAACTGTTGTATAAAATCAATATCACATCATGCTGACTTTGAGAAAAAAACGGCACTCTTCGTGTGATATTAACTATATGAAATGATATAAATATAAACATTTTCTGCCCCATATCATAAATTATGTGATAATTCTAAATGCATTTTAATAGACTGATTCATGCAGTGAAAGAACGCACTATAAACGCGCGCGCACTAGTCTAACCTGCTAGACTTCATCTAATGTATGCGCGCACTCTGGAGGTGTTGTGTTTGCTTTTTGCGATATACTCGATAATATCAAATCGCACATCGTTAAAACAACAATTACGATATTATCGCAGACCATACATATTGCACACCCCTATGTTTAGATTTTTATAATGCATCGTCTTCTTATCGATCCACCAGTTCACATTTAAAGCTCTGCGTGTTTGCAGGGTAACAACATGGGTCGATTTTCGCATTAGTCTGAACAAAACAACAGTTTTATTTATTATCTCTGCCAGCAGGTGGAGCGTTTGGTAGAAACATCACTGTTTCCCCGGTAACAGCAGAACACCGAGCAGCAGCACCGGACTCTGAGCCTGCAGCTCTCCTGTTTATTCAATGAAATCATAGCCTTTTGAAGTTTATTCGTCACATTACGCCTTATCGCCATTCTGGTTTTTCTGTCCCCAAATTTAAGACCTCTTGAAATTATAATTAAGACTTTCTTGTGCAATTTAAGACTTTTTAAGACCTTAAATTTGATACAGCTAAATGTAAGACCCTGGTAAGCAAATACTCTACTAACAGGCTGACATCAGTTCATGACCAGATGGATCTAGTTCTGATCGAGAATTATCACTCGGTAAAAAGCTCATTCAGGTTGAGTGCTATATGTATTTATAAACAGGCTATACATGCATCTAGTGGCTAAACCATCGTATTTCAGATTATTTTCCTTATTTCTTTCCACCAGGTGGCACTAACCTGTATGCAATCACTAATGCACTTATTTATTTACATTTTATATAGAAATAAATGATTCATATTTTAATTAGAATATTTAGTAACATATTAAAGAAAAAACATAGCAAATACAGTACATTCATTTTACGAAAAAATGAAATCACTATACGATTATGGTCCCAGGTGTGTTTTGCGTGTGAACAGTGAGACGACTAAATGAACAAGACCAGAGGATCAGAACATCATCATTATAATGAAGCAAAACCACCCAAACAAGCATTCAAATCAAGCAGAGCATTCCTTCAGCTGCATCTTCAACAAATAACTTCATGAAATCAAAATCAAAACTTAATCAGAATTATAATCAATATTACGTATGTTTCATGAGCACACCTGTTCTCTGGCAGCGCCTCTGTGAAGCATCTGATCACAACAGTAGACACTGGATCTTCAGGGCTGCTAGAACACATACAAATGAGCTATCATGCTTTTGGCTCCAAAAATGTGAACAATATACTGCAACATATTAACACCACAATATAAATGCAAATCATTGGCCTTAATATTTATAGACTGTCATGATTGTGTCTGTTAGCCACCTCTTTGTGTTTGCCAAAACTCCCTCCAGCAAATAGAAAGGGTCCTGAGGAAGAGAGATGGATTTATGAGTTTATGCAGGGCATGCAGGGCATCAGGGGCGGCTCATAACTCTATATGAGGTGGGCAATATACCAGCAGAAATTCATCAATCAGAATAACTATTCAAGCACAGTTTCTTTTAGAGGTCGACCAATATATTACTTCCAACAAGTTAATCAGCATCAATAACCAATTTTTGGAAATACTGGTTATTAACAAAAAACAACATCTATAATTAACCAGTTTTTTCTGGCTCCCATAGACTTTCCAGCACCAGCCACGAAGGATTGCCTGAGTGTGAGTGAGTGAGTGTGAGAGTGAGTGAGTGAGTGAGTGAGTGAGAGTGGGTGAGTGAGTGAGAGTGGGTGAGTGAGTGAGAGTGAGAGTGAGTGAG